TTTTGGTCAACATCAACATTTTGAAGTGATATCCATAATTTGATCAAGGGTTGATCATGATTCCTCAAGAAATGCTCCTAACCCATCAAAAGTTAAAAGTGGCAAATTAGGGTTTCTATAGGAAAAGTCAACCAAACTTTGACCAAGCATAACTTTCTTATACTTTATCATAAAGTTTCCAACCAAATCTAATTTTGAATAGAATTCAATTCCCTGCAACTTTTCTTCATCCCTCAAGTCCAAGAAATGCACCATTTGAAAGATACAAGCTTATACATTACAGGTCATTTCCAAAAAGTCAACAAAAGACACTTTTTTTCAAGACCATTTATATCAAGATAAAATCTTCAAATGCAAAATTGATCAAAAGAGGGACTGAAGTAGACATCTTGGGTTTTCCAAAAAGTCCAATATCATCATCATGAGATAAATATTGAGCAAGTTATGGCTTACCCAAGTTGGGAAAATTTGGAAATTTTCAAGAATTATGCATTGAGAAAATTTGAAGTTTTAAGGCAAGGGCTCAATTTCTTAGACTTCAAGCATCTTCCTAAGTTTATATAGGACCTCTAAAATTATTCTTTCCATGCCTTGAATTTGCTAACTATTTTATTCATATTTATTTTAATTTATTTCAAATAAATATAAAATAAAATGTATAAAATAATTAGAAATGGGCTTTGAGCTTTGGGTTGATGTTTTGGACAGCCTAGGCCCATAAAATTTCGTGCAAAGGTGTCCACATTCATTCAAATTCAAAAAATGACAAGTTTCTTTGTTTTTGGCCAAAGTTACAAATTTCATTCATGGCTTTGAAACGTTTGCTTTAAGCTTGTTTAAACCTTTGTTTTCTTGTCTCCTCATTTCTCTCTATATAAACAAGCATCTAGCAAGAATTTCAAGACACCTACACAGCCTAGAGAGAGCTCTACAATTTTTGTAAAATTATCAAAAGTGGTAAAAATTCGAAACCCACTATGCAGATACTTTTGGTCCGAACTAGTAATCATACATTGCTCTTGAGGTTCCCAGAGACTTGTTCTAACCATCCTCAAAGCTTGAAAGGTCCCATATCATCGGATCCAAGCTATCACCGTTTTGGTATAATCTAAAATTCGAATCTCTATTTTTATTAATTTGTTGAATGTTCTAATGTGTGTATATGAGTTCCTGGATATCCTTAGAGCAGGTTAGGGGAATTACATGGAATGTATGCCATCTAGAACATGAGATACCATGTACCATTAAGTACTGCTCACACTGGATCCAAGGAAGAACCTGGGCTTCACAATCTGGACTTAGCGAAATTTCAATTGCAACCCCCATTCTACTTCACCCATCAAGCCCAATCTCTTTTCTTTTTGTTTTATTTAGTTATTTCATTTCTTAATCTTTTTTAATAATAATAATAATAAAATACTCACAAAAAATTAGGCATAGTTTTTTTAATTAAATAATTAATTTCTTTAATTAATTAATTAATTAATTAAAACTTTAACCTTTTCTTAATTAATAATGAATTAGAATTTAAGTCTAATTACTTTCTTTTCATAATAAAAAAAAACCACAAAAAAGCTTAGTTTATTTTTCTTAATTTAATTTTCTAAGTAGACTTTAGGATAATTAATTTAATTATTTTTCTTAATCTAACTTTTAAAATAAAAAAAAACCAACAACAAAAAGATTTTCTTTTACGTTTTCAGGCGTACTTTCAACTTTTCGCGCATTTATTTCCTTTCGCATTGTTAATATTATTGTAATTGTTGCATGGGATGTAATAGATGATAAGTAGACTCTTTTTATTGATTTATTTTCTTTTCTCTAATTCCTTTGGAATGTAAATCCCCCTCCCCGAAGCCATGTAATAGTCTAGATTTATACTTTCCGCATTTTATTTTTCTGTATATATTACTGTTAGTAACTAGGCGTGTATGGAAAGACTAACAATCAAACGTTAGCTAACTTAACAAAAAGACAAAAAATAACTGAATCTCAACACACTTGCACAAGCACACCTCTAAGGTATCTCCCACTTTGGTTGCCTTTAAATAAAACAGTCATGAGGCAGGAACGCTTTAGTAAAGACGCATAAATAAAAAAGATCATAGTCCCTCGATGACCCTACAGTTGCCTTTCGGTAAATGATCTAGTCCCTAAAAGAAAATTGCTAAAGCGTCTCCATAAATTGCCTTCGTGATTGTAAAATGTCCCTTTGATTGTCCCTCAACATCCAACGATAGGACTACCTACTCACTAATAGTAGGATAACACTATCTAAAAGAAAGGAGGAAAATAATATCCTTTTTCGAGTAGGTAGACTGTTTTTAAGTACTTGCTCAAACTTGAAATTTTTCACACTTACACACTTTTCAAAAACTATTTTCAAAAACGCTTTATCACACTCTTGAGGACTGATACAAGAGTTACCATAAAGCAAACAAAAACTTTCAAAACACACAAACAATTTTCAAAATGAGTAAGTACCTAAGATCCCGTGGAAAACCATAGATGGAAATGGTGCTAACACCTTCCCTTTCCATAATCTACCCCCTTACTCAAAAAATCTATAAAAAAAAAGCATTTTTCTGTTTTTTAACCCTTTCCTTTGTTGGATAAAAGAAAAGTCGGTGGCGACTCTTGCTTACAGCGATATTTGCAAACAAAAAATGAAAAACCAGTATTAAATAGTCGGTTCTGCCATCGTATCACAATTGGTGCTGATGCAATTGAGTTCTTCAGAGTGCTGCAAGGAAGATGTCTAACAAGATGTTGAGACATCATTTTCAACTGAAGATCTATTGTTGTGTGCAGCAGCTTCTGAATTATTGCAAATTGTTTTTTAGATTATTTGTTTTAGCCAAAATTTGCCAAAGAGGGAGATTATTAGTTCTCTTGTATTAGAATTGGCTTAATTTTTGTAAAACAAATAATAGTAGCAATAATGTAATGTAGAATAGGATGTATAAACTTGCTAAGAAGAACATGTACAACAAGAAGTCCTATTACAATGTCAGAACATGTTGTGTTGATCTTTTTCAACAACTGGAACAACATGTCAAAGAAGATGTCTTGACATCGCGCCCGCTGAGCTGGATTAATGAGATTGAGTTTGTTCTCAATATTGAAAGAATATTCCAGAGAATATTATTCATCCTATGTGGCGCATATTTAAAGGTCCAGAAAATTCAATCAGAAATAAAGTAGAATGAAAACTTTCTAAATAAGGATATTATTTAGGAAAGTAAAGATTGAAGACCTTTCATGGGGAAGAAGTTTCTACAGTTTGTTACAGCTGATTTGCTATGATTGAAGGCCCAAAACCAGTTGGGTAACAGGTTATAAATAGAAGAGTTTGTAACCTAGAAAATGCACGGCTCAAGATGTAGAAGTCTAGGGTTTTGTCAAGGTAAACCTCCCGGGTTGTTGGAAGGTTACTATGTTCACCTCAAAGCCTGTAGGTAAGAGGTTTATTGTTCTTGGAGGAAGCTTTGAAGCAACTCCAGGATGTGTTATTAGTTAGGAGCAAAGCTAAAAAATATTGGAGTTTGGCTTAGAGACTTAGCTAGGTTGTCATGGAAGTGTGTCTTTCAAACTGTTTATGTGATCAGAATCTTAGTGAAGGGCCGTCTATGCAGTGACTGAGGTGTTGACTGCTAGACATCATTGTGATGATTGGAAGTGGGATGGGGATATTCCATATCTAGGAAGGACCTAGGTAGAAGGGTCATTGGGTAGTGATTAAATGCGTAGATAGTCAATGGGTGTGTTGGCTGTAGGGTCTGCAAATTGATACTATTAATAATGGACTTCATTCTTGGCTTGGTAGCCCCCCATAGTAGGTATTATTGTACACTGAACTGGGTAAAAAATTATGGTGTATTATTTATCTTTTCAGTACTATTTTATCTTGCCTATGTGTTATGTCAGATCAGATGTCTTGACATCCTTATAGGACATCTGAGTCTGCTGTACCAAAATTTCAAATAGTTTATGTTTTCAAATCTGTTTAATTTAAGATGAGTGAATGTATAACCTAAGAAGTGAACTTAAGAAGTGAACTATGTGATTTTATTGATCAAATATGTTTCCAAATTTATTGTTTATGTTTCCAATTATGTTTAACTTAAGATGAGTGAATATATAACCTAAGAAGTGAACCTAATAAGTGAATGTATAATCAAATCTATTTCTAAATTTGTGATTTTATTGACATGTATAATGTAGCTTCTTTCATGTTATTCGTAGCATAGTATGACCTAAGAAGTGAACTTAAGACGCGTATAATAGCTTTATAAGTTAAGTTAATATGAGTGAATGTATAACCTAAAAAGTGAACTATGTTTATGTTTCAATAGCTCCTTTAATGTTAATTATAGGATAGTATGATATGTATAACTTAATATGAGTGGATTTTCTGCTAGTTTATGGATTATATGACCTGAATAACTTAATATGAGTGTACTTTCTGCTAGTTTATGGACTATAGAAATATATGGGTTATAGAAGTGAACTTTTTGCATCTGTTTAATTACAATGTCACGCTAGTACATTTTGACTTGTTGGAAAGGTGAATGAAGAAAAAATATAAATGGTTTGTGTTGCTATGAAGAAAAAAAATACAAAGAGAGGATGAAGCAGAAGTGAAAGCTGCAAATTAATGTGAAGGGCCCAAAATGACATTCATTCAAATTTAACTCAAGTTTGTAGCTCTCATTTCAGGTTCATCCTCCTTTTATTGTGGATTGAGGCTATTAGATCATTTATTTGTCTTCATTCTCCAAAAGTCTATTCAATAAAAGATATGTCTGTATGTCACACTCCAAATTTTATTTCGAGTTTTTCTCATTCACATTCGTATGTCAAAATTAATTTTCATTCGTATCATTACATTTTGCGTGCATTAGCATTATTTTTTGTAAAAGAAAATATTTGTTATTTTAGTGTTAATCAACTAGAATGATGTACAATCTCCGCGCATCTCCAGCCCATCATCATCACCCATTGTCTTCTTCATAACTACTCCTTCCGTTCAACATCATCACTGCTCATCAGCATCGATCCTTCTCCACCGCACATATATTCCCTCCGCTTGCGATTCTTCATCACGATGTTCACCGCCAACCTTCACCCGCCTGTCCTCCTTCATTCGATCTCTATCACCTTCTGCAACACAAAAACCGAGTTCTCCATTTCGTGACCACCTATCAACTCTCTCCGTCCCGACGTCGTCAACGTCCAGCAGCTGCCTCCGCTCTTCCACTCTTCTTCATCGAATCTTCAGCCAATAACTTCCTTCTCCGAGGTAAACTCATTTTAATTTCTGGTTTGTGATTTATGTTTAGATATGAGGGATGAAGTGTTAATAATGATTATGATGTATGTGTTGATTCTGGATAGAATTCTTGTGCTGTTAGTAATACTCTAATTGTATTTTTTGTGTTATTAATGATTGCTGGATTTTTGAATTAGATAACATGTTTAATCATGTGAAATGGATGATGAAGTTGTGATTTTGTTATTGTATTATTGGTGTCAAATCTAAATATTAAAGTTGCTATGTTTGAAATTGCAATATAGTTTATGTTGAATCTGAGCATGGAAGCTTGCGCTGTTTATGTTGAATTTGAGTATTGAAGTTGTTATCTTGTGTCATTACCACTGTGTTAGTGTTAAAACTGATTAAAGTTGACGTCGGTGTTTGTGTTAAAGCTGAATAAAGTCATTTGTGTTAAAACTGAATAATGGGTTTCGATGTCAATACATATTATATGTGTTATCTATGGTTAACTGGAGTTAAGTCTTTGTGTCGATTGTCGTGTTTAGTTGTGTTTAATTTTAAATAGTGAAGTGTTGATAGCATGATTCATGATTCAATTTGAAAGATTAATTGATGATGGCATCACTTTTTGTTAATATTAATGTTGATTGAATTTAACGTCGTGTCATTTTGTGTGAATTGATTAGGAAGACATGTTGATGGCTTCGTTTTGGTTCGTTTGTGTTAATTTTTAATGATAAACTTGGTGTTGATATTTGATTTATTCTCATTGGTTTCTGAAACCTATTTGAATTGGAATTATGGAGCCATATTAAGTTTGTATAGTGGTTGTCCGGAATTCGATTTGAGTTGATTTAATCTTGATCTTGAATTTAATTTCGTGTCGTGTTGATTTGGACCATTTTGAATGAATCATTGATGATGCTTTAGTTTCATTTCGTTTTGAATTCAAACATTGAATTCTTTGTTGCAATAACGATGGTTTTCCGGTAGCGTTCATTTGATTTAAGTTGAATTTTTTAGTTTTATTTATTCATGTTTATGGCTGTCCGGATTTGATTTGTTTGATCTTAGCTTGCTTCGAAATCAATTTTCTATGTTTCAATTTTGGATTGAATAATAGCTTGAGTTTTTTTGGTTTTAGTTTTATTTGTGAATTGGAATTCTTGAATAATCACAATTATTTGGTTCTTGAATTGTTCATGTACATCATACAAGTTTCATTTCGATTTTATACCTTGTGATTACTAACTTGTTTGTTGGTTGATGTAAGCGATCAAAGTGATTCAATTGATGTTTGTTACTTAAAATGGATTAGTTTACTAATCTATTTTTCTTAACTTGATTAATTAGTTTAATCGATGTTTAACTAATAGATTCTTACCTTTCTTTATTTCTATTCTCTATTAGGTAAACTGTATCCCATTCCCCTATTTGTAATATAATTAATTTATCGCATTTATTTTTATCTTCTAATCCCCATCCATAAACAATGTATCCTTATCCCATAAAATTATAATAATTTATTTAGTTGTTTATGCATAATTATTAATCATTAATTGCATGTGGACAACTGGAAAAAAAAACTTTTTCAAACTAATAAATTGTGAATCATTTTCATCCCGTAAGTCGACAAAGCTTGTAAGCGTCGCAATAACCTTACAAAGCACACTTCCACGTTGGTTTCTGGGCCTTCTTACAGAATGTCCTACTCGGTCAATTGTTCCAATTGGCCGTTTAGAGGCTAGTTCACTTTGCTAGCTTACACGTAGAAACTAGGACATGTGCTTTATAACTTATACTTGTGTGGGCCACTATGTATGGGCTTTTATCAATTTATTTGCTATACCTAATGAATGTTCGCAATTATTCTCATCCATCTCTCGCTCCTTGATCCACATGCCAAGTTCTCATTCAATTAGAGTTTCATAGTAGAGAGTAGGCTTGGCTATTCTCTCAAGGTTAATCAAGTCATGTGGATTGGTTAATCATGACATGATTCATTCCTCCTCTTTATTCATTCACCAAGCATTCAAAACACTTTAATAATAAATTCTCATACCTCGATCTAACACCGAGTTGATTTCCAAAAACCTTTTCATAATAAATTTTGAGTACTTAGATCATTGGTTGTTAGACCTATTGTCTAAAGTCTCGCATAAAAAAAACATAATAAGCGTGAACCTTGTTTCACTTCACCTTTTCATAAGAAAACTTTTTGGGAGAGAGACAACTCGTTGAGCTTAAGTTTTCCTCTAGTTTCTAGTATTTCAATCGTAGGATATAATCCTATTGTTCGGTACTTGTCATCCACATAAAAACAATTCAAACTCATTCAATCAATTTTGTCGCTTGGCTTTTCTATTTAAAACCTTTCAAATAGGGTGATTTCTGGTCCCTTTCGCGACGCTGAAACAACGTTCCTTACACATGTGAATGTTGAGCCTTTTCCACTTGAATGCGATGATAGCAAGAGTCTGTGCATAATACAGACTCAGACATCCTTTGTTGAAGTGATGCAATCATTCCATTATCCATGCTGTGAGGGCAAAAGTGAAAGAACTGAGTTTTAATGATTGTCAAAAACCTACTTGTGCAAATATGTCTTGCTTCAAACAGGTGCAAATGAGAAACATAAAAAACAAGCATTTATCTCAAAACAGATTGCCTGAGCCGGCTCATGGAACCTTACGTCGGCTCATGAGAAGAAGATTTTGGCTTGGAAACGTTCGGAAAGGCGCACGCCTCTTCTATGCGTCGACGCATGGTTCTGGGAGAACATGAGTTGGCGCATCAAGGAATGAGTCGGCGCATGACTGAAGGAATTTCAACCTCTCTCGCTCGGGAAGGCACACGCCTTCTCTATGCGTCGACACATAGTTTTGGGAAAACATGAGTCGGCGCGTCAAACAATGAGTCGGCGCATAACTGAAGGAATTTCAACCTCTCTCGCTCGGGAAGGCGCACGCCTTCTGTATACTTGCATGAGTCAATGCATCGCTAAATTGTCTCATTTTTCTGCTATGCTGTTACATCATGGGAATGACTTATAAATATTGTTTTGGCCTCTGTTTTGAAAAATAACAAGAAGAAGTGAAAGATATACACAAGAATTCCCTTCATCTTCAACCTCTCATAAATTATCAACAACTACACACAATCATTTTTGTTGATCAAGTTCTTGGGATTGTGTTGATAACGTCCGAATTGAAAGTGCAATTTCAGATTTGGGTAGAGATCTTTGTGGGTTTTTTTCTTGAATAAAACCATTGGGGTTTTGTCCTCCAAAATTGGGGGTTTTTATCACAAATCTTTGAAGATGAAGGGGTTTCAGCCGAGCTAAGGGATTGGAAGACTGTGGACTGTTCAATCGGGTAGCGGTAACTGGAGGATTGTGAAGAAGGATTTGGGGCCAATTTTCTTGAGTACAAAATCATTCAAGGTAGAAGGAGTTTTTGTTCAAGATTTGGCATACTTGATTCATCTGGAATCAAGGGAAGAGGAGTGCAACATATAAGATTCATCAAGTGACTTTGAATTGTGGTGATTGTATCTTCTCTTATAAACTTTGCAAAATTAATTTCATATCCTAATTCTAGATTCTAGAATTGGGGGCAGAGTAGCCCACGCGAGGATGACAGGGTGAACTGACTTAACAAATACCGTGTCCATTTTAGTTTTCTGCGTTTGGTTTCTATTTGCTTAAATTTGTGAGTTATCAATTTTCTCATTCATACAAAATAATTGTAGTGATAAACTAAAATTTAAAACTCATATAGCATTCATTCGAATCGCTATAATCACTACAATTTGAGTATAACCAAACCTTGTGTAGTACGTACACCAAGTGTTTGGTGAATTTACAACTCACAAATTTTCTTTATCTTCTCCGCAACTAATTGGTAATAACTTACACCTTGTTAAACTTGCTAAAGCGATTCATCATATTCATTTTTAATTGTGATTCTATTCTCATCATTTTCATCAAATTGGTTCGCATATCCGATCTTTCCAATACGTAAAGTTTAGACGATTAGATTCAGGGTTGTTGCTCTCTGATAAAAACAATTTTACAAAACGCGCAAATTTTTAAAGGGATCTATTCAACCCCCCCCCCCCCCTTCTAGATCTGTTACATCGTCTAACAAATGGTATCAGAGCACTGGTTTATCCAGTGCTTCACATATAACTTCTTGAAATGGATTGTGATCTAAAAGGGGCGTACAATAGAGCACCCGTTTTCACAGGTGAAAATTATAGCTATTGGATAGATTGTATGTGTGTTGATATCACGTCTGTTGATAGGAAAATATGGAAGGTTATCCAAGATGGGCCAGTTGCAATAACTACACAAAATGCTATCGGGATAATCGTTCCTAAACCAGAAGCACAATGGGATGAAAAAGATGAGAAAAATTATGCCTATGACTGGAAAGCACGAAACATGATCATAACAGCTCTAGGATTTGATGAGTATTTTCGGGTCTCACATTGTGCTACAGCTAAGGAAATGTGGGACGCTTTACAAGTCACCCATGAGGGTACAAACGATGTAAAATTGGCTAGAATAAATACTTTGACGCAAGAGTTTGATCTCTTTCACATGGAGCAAGGTGAAACCATCGCCGACATGCAAAGGAGATTTTCTCATATAATGAATCGCTTGCATACACTTGGTCATATAATTGCCAATTCTTTTGCTACTAACAAAATTTTGAGATGTCTTAGCAGGGAATGGCAACCTAAAGTTACGACAATTAAGGAAGCCAATGATCTAAATACTTTGGATCTCATAATACTATGGGGTAAGCTTCAAGAACATGAGCATAAGCTTATAAGCCTTGGAAAGCATGAAAAGAAAGAAAAGAAGGAAAAGTCAAGGGACTTGGAAAAGAAGTCTATAGCACTAAAGGCTTCAAGCTCCAAGTCATCCACCTCAATTTCGTGTGCAAGTGAATCAAGTGATGACGATGAGAGTCCGGATGAGGATATGGGTCTGTTCGGAAGGAA